GGAACAATTCATAATAAAGAGATAATGATGATGTCTTGGTTACTTTTCTCTCATTGCTCAAAATTAGGGAAGGAAGGGTTTATTTAGCTACAATTTTTGGAGGTTTCAGTCCATACTCAGTTGCTTCCAAGGCAGGGGACATGGCTAAGGGGTAACCATTTATTGTGGCCACATGTAAAAAGAATGAAAAGAGCAAAAATGGGAAAGCATGCCTCCTTCACTATCTTGTATTGTATGCTGGCTGCCTGCCCCTTGGCTAGTGCAGCAGCCCTCACACTGCCAAGTCTAGTGCTAAACAATGAACCAATCACAAACATGATTCAGCTGCTTTCAAAAGGCCTGCCCCCCCATGACTACATGAGGCTTTGGGAGGACGTCCAAACACAAATCATAATAAGTGGCAACTAAGGGGGAAAAGTGGCAAGTATCTATGCACTGAAAGTCATTGCACACAATTTCATAAAGCAGGGTTAATCAACTGCAGTTGAAAATATTCAGAATAAAAGGCTAGAAAATGACAAGACGATATATAACTTAAGAAAAAAAAAAACTTGAGCAAAGAAGCAGGAGTAGCCACAAATGAATTACAAAGGCTATTAACAGAAATAATTAAGGAAAGCTTCCCAAGCATCGGAAAAAGAAATGATATCCAGATAAATGAGGCATACAGAACTCCAAACAACTACAACCAAAACAGATCTACACCCAGACATATATTAATCAAGATCCCAGAAATCCACCACAAGAACAGAATATTAAAAGCAGTCGGAGAAAAAAAGCAGATCACCTACAAAGGAAAAATCATCAAAATAATGACAGACTTATCAAGACAAACTATCAAACTGAGAAGAGCCTTGGGAAAATAGTCCAAGCCCTGAAAGAAAATAATCTCCAACACAGATTGATGTACCCTGAAAAACCCCCTCTCAAAATTAATGGAGAAACAAGATGTTTCCAAGACAAGGAGGAACTGGGAGTTCATGGCCACCAACCCAACCCTACAAAAAATACTGAAGGACATTCTAGAGAGAGAGAAAAAAATACCAGGATTCCAGCAACAGTGACAGAGGGGCCTCGGTGAACAGGACAGACAGTGGAATGAAGGAGAAAAGTGGGCAAATAGCAGAAAAATAGAATAGCAGAGATAAGGCAGAGAAGGTGGTCTATAATATCTAATATAGATAGCCTTGATACACTAACGAAAAGAAACACAGAATAGATTAGGAGGCAGGATCCATTGAGATGCTCTGAACAACCTGAAAGAGGGTTAATAAACTGAAAGTCAAAGATGGGAAAATGATGCTCTAAGTGACAGGGAACCAGAGGGAAATAGGCACAACTTGTCCAGCAGTCGCAGATAGGTTGGAAAGTTATGACACTCTTGTGCAGTGTAAAACTACACAAGAAGAAGGAAGGAAAGCCTTGTGGCTTTAGTAAGTAAAGGAATACAGCTCAAAGACAAGCTCAGGGGTAAAAAAGGTTCAGCACCACTCAGATAGATAACAGATTGACCCCCTAATCTAAAAACTAAAGGAGCTAGTGGGGCCTAAAATATACAAAGCATCCTGAGAAAGGGAAAGGTGAGGAATTGCCTAAAAAAGGAAGGCAGAGGATACTGTTAATAGTGTATAGTTTGATTATATTTTGTTCTGGTCTGTCTACTCATACTAGATTTGAGGGCACAGACAGCTATCCCAAAAATAGCAGACTATACGACAGTAACTATCCTTAATTTCCTATTAACTTAAACTGAAGCCCTGTATTACTTACATTGTCTTACTATAACTGATCTTATTTGAAGCTGTTTTGTGAGACTGCTGTTTTGCCTTAACTGAATTTATTCAAATTTGGTATGCTTGATAGTATCAAGTCTAAGAGTAGAGGCAACTACCCTGAAGATGACTAGATGTAATAAGATACCCATTCCAGTTTGATTATTAACTGCTTTTGAAGTCCTAAAATGTCTCCAAAGTTGTGTTCTTATTAAAATAGCTATGTAATTCTATGTTCAATTATATTATGTCTGATGATGTGGATAATTCTACTGAAAATAACAAGAGAAAGCATAGTAACTACTGTAGATCACCTAATATTGTGCTTTTATATGTCTTTTTCATTTCATGTTTTTCTAAGACTTTGTTTTGTTGTCTTCTTTTGATCTGTTTTTCCCTACAATACAGAAAGGATAGATATACATGTAGCAATTCACACATGGGGAGAATTTCTAAACAGTTTACGGGAACAGATTATATAATGCACGTTGTAATAAACAGATACTCTGAAGAAGAAGAGACACTAAGATACCCAGTGCTAATTCTGTAGCATTATGATATAAAATCTAGCAATACTATTACTCACTGTTCAGAGTGATATTAGTTTAGTCTATTATGTTTAATTTTAGCATATGTAAAGATAAGGACAGATACTCGAAGAGAATGAAAGACATTATGGCAGCCATTATTGACTTCCCCAAAGTCAGGTCTTGAAGACCTAAAAAGTCTTCATCATCGTGTTATGATTAGATTAGTTCTATAATGTTCAGTATGTACTCAATGTGTGTAAAGATGGGGACAACTACTTGGAAGAAAACTAGAGACGATAAGGTAGACAGTAAAGATCTCCAATGGACTTGCTTTAAAATCCATGTTTCTTAAAATTGTTTCCTTATGATCTGTTTTGTTATGTTTAATCTTACCCTCTTTAAAATAAAAAAAAAGACTCATGCATGTGTAGAACCTATAAACAGTTTACAAAACTGATCTTATAATGCATGATGAAATGAAGAAAAACTTTGAAGAAAAAGAGACTCTACAGTACCCAGTGTTGATCCTTATACTGTCATGACGTGAAATCCAGCAATACTATTATTCTTCGTTCAGAGTGATTTTAGCCTGCTATGGTTTGTTTAATCGCAACATAAATGAAGATATAGATAACTGTGTATATGTTTAAGTGTATAGGATTGATAACCATATTACTAAGTTTTTGTTGGATAGTTGACAGAACCATTTGCAGTCTCACTGTTTTAATCCCCACTTTGTATGTTTCACTTTTGTATCTTGAACAACTATTTGTAAGAGGACAATATGTAATCATCAACTAGTGATTTCTTACTGTTTATTTTTCTTTGAAAGTATGTATTTTTTCTACCCATTTTCTGTTTTGCTTAGTCTTTAAAAATAATAAAAAAGAGAAAATGTCCAAAAGGCTTGAATAGATATTTCTCAAAAGAATGCATACAAAAGACCAATAGGTATATGAAAAATAAACATCACTAACCACAGAGAAATGCAAACCAAAACCATGAGGAGATATCATCTCACTCCAGTTAGAAAAAGGTCTGATGAAGATGTGAAGAAAAGGAGACCTTTACACACTGTTGGTGAGACTATAAATTAATACAGCCATTATGGAAAACAGAGTGGAAGTTGCTCAAAAATTAAAAATAGATTTACCATATGATCCAGCAATCCCAGTTATATATATATATATATAATCTGCATTTCTTAAGGCAATAAAAATTTCCCAGGCAACGAAATCAGTAAGTTGAGGAAACATCTGCACTTCTATGTTTATTCCAGCATTGTTCTATGTCTTGGAATCCATAGAAATGTTTAACAGAATCAGAATACTATCTTGGGAGTGGTACAGCACTTGCCCAGCTTAGGCAAGGCCCTGGAATGGACTCCTAGCAATGAAGAAAAAAAGGAGGGGATACTGTTTAGTACAGTATTTAGTCATTAAAAATTAATGAATTTGTTCTTGCAGACAGAAATGAACTTGGAGGATAATATGTTTTTTCAAAATTTTATTTAAAGAGAAAAAAACAAAACAGAAAAAAGGTTCAAGTAATACAGAATTTCAAAAAAAAATAAACAGTAAGAAATCACTAGTTAATAGATTACATATTGTCATCTTAGAAATAGTTGTTCAAGTTACAAAATTAAAGCATACAAAGTGGAGATTCAAACAGTGAGACTACAAACAGTTCTGTTCAATGGTCCAACAAAAACTTAGGAGGATAATATGTTAAGTGTAATAAGCCACACATAAAAAGACAAACATCACATTAACTCAGTCATATACAGATTCTAAAAACAGTTGATCTCATAAAAATAGAGTAGAATAGTGATTACCCAAGAATGAAGATTGGGAGAGCCAGGTCATTGGGTACAAAATTAGGTAACAGGGATAAGTTCTGGTGCACTACTGCACAGCAGGGTGATTATGGTTAACAATAAAGAAATTGTGCATTCCAAAATAGCTAGAAGAGAGACAGTTTTTCCTTCAAAGAAGTTATAAATGCATAAGGTGATGCAGATGCTAACCACCCCCAAGATGAACATACACTATATATTTATTAAAATATCAAATTGTACCTCATAGATACAATTAAATAATATTTGCTGTATACACCAAAGTATACAATATTTGGTGTATGTTAAACATCCAAAATAATTATAAAATGCACAATAAAATAAAATTTCCTTTACAAACATTGTCTGTAAAATTGCAAGCCATTTTTTATGGTTGCTCTATAATTTAACCAATCTACTGTTTGGCAGTATTTAAATAAATCTAATTTCTTTTTTTATAAACACCTTTCTTGCAGACATACAAGGCTTTGTAGTTTGCCAATTGCATTCTAGAAAGTTCTGGATACTTCCAGAGGCATTTAAGGCAGATAGAATGGCATACCTTCCAGGGAGCCTACTGTCTTCCCAGACAGCAAAACTGCAGTTTAAAAAAAAAAAAAAAAAAAAAAAAAAAAAAAAAAAAACAAAAAAACTAGTCTTTATAATTTGAAAGATCTGTCTTACCCTACTTATTAGTTATGCAGCCTTAAGAGGGATATGGTTCTAGATATTCCATATACCCTCTCCCTCTTCCAGCCTCATTCCCGTCCCTCTCCCAATCCCCATCCCCACCCCCACGCGCTTTCACGCTCCGTGGCTGGGCCTATGGCAAAAGCCAAGAATTAATTAGGGGCGGGGATCTTGCAGCGGCTGTCAGGAGGTCGCCATATTTCTGTACGGCCCTGAGGTAGTCCAGGCGGTGGGTCTGGAGAGGTGCTGACGGGGCGGGGCCGCCGCTCTGCTCCGCCAGACTCACTCCTCTGGCTGGGGACAGGTGGCTGGAGTGCGCCCCGCCTCCACCAGCTGCCGGGGAAACTAGGGAGAACCAGTCCGCTAGGGCCGCCGCCAGCAGCAGCGAGTGGGAGTGAGTGAGTGCGAATCGGTTACGGCCAAGCGAGGAGTCCGGCAGCTGCAAAGGAGTACCGAGTACCGCGGCCGCCAAAACAATGCTCCTGTACCGAGGGGCCCCTGGGGGCCCGGGCGCGCCAGGCCGAGGGCTGGCCCGGCCAGGCAGCGGCCCACACGCCTTTGGAATCCGCCTGAGCACGGTAGGTCTGGGGCCGAGGGGGCGGACTTGCGCGCGGGTCCCGGGGATGTGGGGCGCCGGATGAGGACCCCGCAGGCAGAGGCCTCACGCCGGACGGGACCTTCTTTTGCCCCCAGATGAGCCCTCGCTACCTACAGAGCAACTCCAGCAGCCACACGCGCCCCTTCAGCGCCATCGCGGAGCTGCTAGGTGAGTGGCACGGCATGGCCAGCCGTGATGGCCCGCGGCACTGGTGCCAGCGTGGTGCGGGACCGTCTAGACACTAGGAATGCGAGGAGCCTCGCGGGGCGGGGCGGGGCGGGCTGGCTGGGCTGGGGACCGTAGGACTGGCCCCGGCTCCGCCTGGGGAGGAGTGCTATGACTCCGCTGGGACAAGGTTCACGGTGTATCCGAAGAGAGGATTCTGTGGAGTTTTCTCTCCACAGAAATATCCCGTGATGTTCTGGGCACTTTAGGATAGCTTAGGATAGGATAGCTTAGTTAATGATCGATCAGAAGGAGATGGATAAACTATCAGACCCCAAGGAAACTGGCACTAGTAAGGGTCAACGACAAACGGAAAGCTCCTGGCTAGTAAAAAGGCCTTGTATAGACCCAGCAGGGTCATTAGAAAGGTCTGAAAAAGAGATTTCTTTAACTTTTGAGAGAAGAACATCTAGGAATGATGGGACATGTCTTAGGAGATGACACGAGTGCATTTGGCTCCCTGAGACTGCAAAGGACTGAGTCTGTGATCCACGAGCGCCCTCACACTGCCGGAATCAATACTGAAGACACAGACACCTCTGGCTCTGTGGGAGTTTGCTTTTAAAGTGTTTTCAGTGGATCCCTTGAAGCCAAGTACACCAGTTTTTGAAGGAATGTGCTAAATGCTGTGTGGAAGGGAGGAAAAAACAATCCTGCACTAAATGCAGCAGCATATAAAGCACAATATAAATGCTTCAAAAATTGAAAGAAGGGAGAAAGATGTATGGGACAAGGTAGCACAGAAAATCTTGGAAAGGTTTCAGAGCTGCCTAAATAAGCCCCAGTCCCTGCTTAAGTCATAACTATGGCCATGCCATGAGAGTGTTTTTAAATTAAGCTTTTGGTACAATTTAGATATGTATAATGATAACATTCATTGTAGGGAATTTGTGTTTCTACATGATATATCCTGATTCCTCTTTTTTGCCCATTCCCCTCACCTCCCTTCAATCCCCTTCCCCTCCTTATTTATATTTTATCCTTCTTTTCCCTTTCTTTCTCTCTCCCCCTCCTTAGTTTCCCTTTCCTTTTGAACAACTTCTTCCTATTTCACAATTTCTTTGCACATTCAGTCTAGGACTTGAGGTCCCATTTGACCCACCCGTTATTCTTGATATCTTCACAAAAGAATTAAAAGCATCATACCACAATGATATATGTGCATCCATGTTTATAGCAGCAGTGTTTAATAGTTAAATCTTGGAAACAGTCCATATGCAAATCAACCATTGAATGTGTAAAGATGTGGCTTTTTTATACAATGGGGTACTGCCCTGCCATAAAGAAGGATAAACTTGATACATTTATAGCTAAATGGATGAACCCTAACACCATGCTCTTAAGTGAAATAAATCAGATACATGTGTAAATATTGCATTGTCTCTCTGACATTGAAAGTACAAATAAGAACCAAAATGTATAACAGAAATTGTTATTTTAGTCAAGAAATTGGCAGCAGGAGAGTCAGGAGAGTTACTTAGAAGATGATGAAGAATTTTCATGATTAGTTTGACTCTAACACAAAATGCTTTACATGTATAACTTAGAAGATGTAGGGAAAAAAGTGACACTGGCACATTTAGGTTTTGTGCCGGGCCTTCCAGAGAATATTAGAAGAGGGACATAAGATCTCTGTGGATGTAACTTACAAAAAAGATGAAAAGGGGGAGTTGACAGTGAACATAGTGGGAGGTGGGAGACAAAAAAAATGTTGTGAGAGATGTCTTGTTCTTTAACAGTTGCACCCTGTTATATACATTATGCATACTTACGCATTATAGGTGATTCATCGAGTTTCCAGCTTGTAATTTTGAGTACATATGATTGTCTTAATTGTTTAATTTTAAAGAACCTTGACTTGGCCTAAGATGGCCAGCATGCATGTGAGTATGTGTGTATATTATACGCACATATGCATACATATATACAAACATAGATTTTAAAAAGCTTATCACATATATTTGTGATAATAGAGAAAAAGAAGATCAACATGTTAACTGGTAAATCAAAGTTTAAATTTTGGATTTTTCTTCAACAATTTTCTGTATTTACAGCATTAGTTTTCTAGTACATACATTCAATAAATATTTAACGAGCATCTACAGAACATAAGGCAACTGTGTTCGATACAAAAATGAATATAACAGACTCATGCTTCTGGAAAGAGACATAAAACACATGCAGAAAGTTCATTCTTTATATAAAAAATAGAAAATTATATATCAGCAAAGATAGGTACAAGTGCTATGGAAATTTAGAGGAAAGAGGAGTGACTTGCAATTTATCTGGAAGAAGAGGTTGAAGAAAAGCTTTGTGGAGATGATAACATTTGAGCTGAGATTTGAAGAACTGGGACTGTGCATATGGTGGCAGGAGGGTATTCCAGGCAAAAGGAACAACTGGATGAATGAAAGTATAAAGAATACTGATTATTGAATTTAATTAGAGCATAGAGTTCACAGGTAGCAAAAATTATTGGTCCTTAGAGAATTTACAAAGAACTTTCACAGTTATCTTTTTAACTTTGCGCTTTGAGGTAAACAGAATTATTTGTTTTCATCGCACAGATGAAGAAACAGAAGTTCAAAGAATTAATTTCCAAGGTTACATGTCTACTAAGTGGCAGATCCAGGACTCAAACACAGGTCTTTTTACTCCAAGTACCAAGTAGGAAATGAGGTTAGAAAGGTAAGCTGGGAGTAAGATGTGACTGAAAAATTCTGATATTTGACATGATACTCTGATATTATCTGACCAGAAGAATGTCATGATCAGAGTGTGCTTTAGGACAGTCAGTCTTGCAGGACTGTATAAAATAGACAAGAGAAGAGAGAGACATTAATTTGCAAGATTAGTTAGGCTGCAATAATCTTGAGAGGGAATAAACTCTGTGAACTAAAAGAATGATAATGAGAATTAGAAAAAAAACTAAGAAAGTCTAAGGATGTATAGGACAAGAAGAAGTTTAAAATGATTTTTTTCAGTGCTAGAGATTGAACCTAGAGTTTTATGCATGTTAGCAAGCACTCTACCACTAAGCTACACCCTTAAGCCCCTAAAAATGACTTTTAATTTCAAATTTATAGTCATTTGAATGCTGACATTGTGTGTGTGTGTGTGTGTGTGTGAGCGCGCGCATGCGCGTGTGTGCATGTGTGTGCACACAGAACTAAAGAACAGGCCTGTGACAGAAGGTAAAGACCTTACTTTCAGGCAAGAATACTTTTAGGTACTTGCAGGATGTCTATAAGTCAGTAATTTGGCACCTCGTCAGTATCCACGGGAAAGGATGGGATGCTCATGAAGCACTATATCAAAGCCATCTTAAACTCTTCTGGGAGGCTGTCAGGTTTCATTCCGTACCAGTTTTTGATAAAGTATCAGGCTTTAATTACAATGCTTTTTCATAAGACAGGGGAATATTGGATCAGGTTAGGGTGTTAAATAGATTTCCCAAGAATCCTATGCTTCTACCAAAACAGTGGGTGATGTGAAGGCAGAGGTAGAGACCCCACTAAGAGATAACTCAAGTCAGTTTAGGTGAGAGAAGACCCCTTGAGAATGGGTAGCAAATGGGCTTGTAAAGGGTAAAGCTGCTCAGGCTATGAGAGTGCAGCTCTTGCCCAAGTAGTGGCTGAGGTGAGAAAAGTAAAGTTCTCTCATCATCCTATCTGTTCATAGGCTAAATGGGCTGGGCTAGTGGAAAAGTTGAATTCCCTGGTGTCAGATAGCATGTGCTACCTGATGGCCAATTTTTAGAGGGTTAAATCAACTATCAGATTGGTGGCTTATTCTTATAAGTTCATCTGTTGAAGCTGACCTTGTTATTATTATAATTTCATTTGTTGAGGGTAAATGAAAGGTCATATAGAACAGAGGCAGGAGGGAAGCTTTGCTTGCCCACACCTGTTTGCTGATTTCACTTTCCCTGGAACTCCAACTGACCCTGGCCTTTTATGTGCCCCTTCCCCCACATAGTCTGAGCTTCCAGCCAAGGAGATACAATATATAGCTGCTCCTGGCGGCTACTATGAAACTTTTGAAGTGCCTTTGTTAAAAGTTGTTGTATTCCTATAAGAAAACATCTAGTAAAGTTTGGGCAACACTTAGAGTTGAAAAAGTTGAAAAGGTGATTTTCCTAGAGAACTGTGAGCTTATTTGTTCAAGCCACTGTTGTCTAAATGTGCAATTAGAATTGACATGTGTTACGTGTTTGAATTGAGAATGTTCAAAGTGTTAGAAAAAAATTTCCATTTCTAGGATTTTCCGTATATAAATGATGCCCAATTGATTGATAAGTTTATCAGTGTCAATGTCTTTGACTGTTTACTAGGGAGAGTGGCTGATAAGGGCCTGCTTGTGAAGTAAAATTTCTTGAATTATGTAGGCAGCCATACAGTGCTGAGTTCTTCCATCAGTTAAAGAAACAAAAAACTGCCTCTTACAATGTAAAGAACTATATACCTGATAAAGTTTCTATTCCATGCCAACTTATAATTCTTGCCCAAAGACAGCCCACTTACCTTACCATGTTATATGGGCCTAAGCCCCACTTGGCCCTTAAAGATCGATTATCAGATTTCTTAACCCACTTCTGGAGCTATTGATAATACCTTATAGCCTCTTGGATTTTTTCAGATTATAATCAGTGACAGTTTTATTGATCAGTGAATCTAGCGGTACTACCATGGCTTTCCAAGTTAATCTGTGTATCACTTTATTTAGTCGACATTCTACATGTCCAAGTGAGTGTCAACTCTTAACTGTATTTGAAAATTTGTATTTTTGAATATGTGCAATACTCCACTTTGTTGTAAGGGTTGTTTCCAGCAGAGAAATGACACGGTTTGATTAAGGGTAATTGGACAAGTTTACAAATAAGGCCCTACCTGACCCTCAGCCTAGCTATGTGGTATCAGTAAAACAGTATAGGGTGCCAAAGCAAAGAAAAAAGGTAGAAGGAAAAGCTGCTATCTTTCTTAAAAAGATAACAAGGACAAGAGTGGTTAAGGACCCTATTTATGTTAGTCTATTTTGTGCTACTAGTGCAAAATACCTGATACTGAGTACTTTATAAGTAAATAATTTTATTTAGTGCACATTTATGATAGGTGGAATGTCCAAGCAGCATGATACTAGTGTCCTGCCAAGGGTCCCATGGCTGCATCACAACATGACAGAGAAGCTAAAAAGGAACAGGGTCATGTGCAGACAGGGCCAATCACACAGGGCAGCCTCACTTTGTAGAACTTACTGCAAAAAAATAATCTTCTGTCTTAGTTACTTTATGCTCGTCGCTGAGACAAAATACCTGATGCCCAAGTTGGGAAAGGAAAGGTTTATTTCTTACAGTTTTTGGAGATTTCAGTCCACACTCAGTTGGCTCCAAGGCAGGCGGGCGGGCATGGCTGGGCCACTTTTCATGGTGGCTGCAAACAGCAAGCTCAAACCAGCAAAGAGCAAGACACACCTTCTTCCTGCCATTACATCACATCCTGGCTCCACCCCTATGTGGTGGCACACTGACACCATCAATCCAAGCACTAGACAATGAACGATCACAAATACACAATGCAAACTCATGAGGCCTGGGGGACACAGACATAAACCATGACATCTTCTATCATACCTGACCACAATAAATCCCTTCCACGAGCAGCATCCTCAATGACCTAATTACCTTGCACTATGCCCCACCTCTTAAAACTTCTACCACCTCAATACTACTACACTAGGGACCAGTACATGAACCTTTGGAAGATAAATCACATCCAAACAATAGCGTTATCCAACCGCTTGTGCTGAGTACCCTTCTGCTCAGACCAGTGAACCCTAATCAGATTTGTGAGTTACATATGTCACTATTTGACTAATACCTGTGGCCAAAAGATGTAACTATTAGATAGTGACATCCCTGGAGCTGGGGACATGGTGCATATGTTAAAATATGGCTAGAGTTGGTATCTTTATAGCCTTAGTTACCCCAGTGTGAAGATGCAACTCAGGAGGAATTGTTATCTTATATTTTCTACTTTTAATCAGTGTTCTCCATTTCATAAATAGTAAACATCTTCACCTTTAAGATTGTTAGAGACAACAGAATAGGTCTTATTCTCTAAGCAAGCTTGCTACCATTCCCTGATTTTTTTCAGTGGTCCTTATGCTATAAAAATAGATCATGATAATGCATGCATTCTTTAAACAGAGGGGGTGCTGTAAAAAACAGAAAATAAAATTATCTTTAATCAATCATAAAATATATAATGTGCATCTATTTTACTAAAATTGCTGACTCGAACTTTCTCTGTAGCCACACTTTACTATATGCATTCATGAGTAGTAAAATGACTAAAAGACCAGAATAAAGCACAATCAAAGCAAAGTGATCTGTAAACAATTGTACTTTTCCTACAGACCCTAAAGATTAAAAGGATCAAGGCAGATTGCTGATAGGTCATTATGTGAAATCTAAAAATCAACTACATAATTCTGTCATATCTGTTGTTCTCTCTAACTCAGTAAATGCAGTACCATTAATGCCCCTGCATACCTTCTGGGACATCCACATGAGGCGAATAAAGGACAGTGTTTCATGTCATGGGGGTACTGAACTAGAGATTTTGATAGAAAGTTGGAAAAGGGGATCTAATATCACAGATTTCTACCTTTTGCAGATAATGCTGTAGACCCAGACGTATCAGCCAGGACAGTCTTTATAGATGTTGAAGAGGTCAAGAATAAATCTTGTTTGACCTTTACTGATGATGGATGTGGGATGACACCTCACAAACTCCACCGAATGCTCAGGTAAAAGTGTCCTAATTTTTTCATCTTGTGCTCATGAATTCTATTTAAAACTTAATCATTTTCTTTAATATTTTACTTTCCTTTTATTCATTCATTCAACAAATATTTATTAAACATATCTTAGTGCCAGGGTACAGATGATGAAGACAACATTTTTTCTGCCCTCACAGAACTTACAGTCCAGCTTGCAATTAAAACAATTAGATAATCAAGTAATGATAATACAATGTGATAAGTATGACAGGAAAGCATAGGATACAGGAGATGAATCAACAGGGGAACCTAATCTGATCCCAGCATTTAATAAAAGCCTCCACAGTGATATGCTGAGATCTAAGAGCAAGTAGAATTTAAATAGATTTTTAAAAAGTGGGGGCCAGGGAGAAAATAATGAGAAGTTAAGCAAGGAAAACAGCAACTATAAAGACCTGGGGACCTTCACTGATCTGAGACCTTTTTCAAAGCCTACTTAACCAAAACTCACTGTTAAATCAGAAGTATTAGGGTTGGGATGATTTGTGAATTAGAACCATGAAGATGCCTGGCTATAATTAAAATTCATAAAAGATAAATAGATGACATTTACATATATAATATTTGAAAAATTTACAGTAGAATCACAAAGTTAGGAAATTCTCTTTTCTGTTAAATCTGATAACAAATTTCTGTGGCCATTCTCAGTTCACTTAATTACTTTAAGAGGTCTATACTTAAGAATAAAAGTGCATACTTTATTATCTTCACATATCACTCGGTGCAAAATCAGTGTTTCCTTAATTCTTTCCTTCTGTCTTCCTTTTTAGCTGATGGAGTTGATTACTGTGTATGTGGCTTCCTGAACTAGAGTGTGTGAAGCCCAAGTAACAAAGGAAGGGTGCTGAGGAGGAGGGAAAGGGCTCAGAACCCTAGAAATGGAAAACAAATTCATTTGGTCATAGTTCTTTTTGAAGATATTCAAAATTAATAACACTGTAGGGAAATTCCTTTGATCCAGCAAAGAAACAAAATGAAATTTGCTCAAAATAAGTGGTTATATTTTACTGCTCAGCAGTATGTATGCTTATGTCTTACACTTCTAATTAGAATGTTAGTGGAAAGCATCTAGAAGTGAGACAAAAATGTGTTTAGTATATTAGTGAAAGGAGAGAGCTGGTCCTATCCTTTAACTTATAACATTGATTTTTATCTCCTAAATGTAAAAAGAATTAAAATGTGTTATGCATCTGTACCAATTCAGAACAGTAAAAGTAATCATTATGTACTATAAACATGCATCTAAAACATAAAAATCAAAAATATATTTTAGATAGGGTGTCTAGTTGTGTATGTACTAAAATTAATTATCAGTTATCAATTTTTTATTTTAAAGAGAATAAAACAAAACAGAACAAAGCAGATCAGAGCAAAGCAATGCAAGTGACACAGGATTTCAAAACAAGACAACAGGAAATCAACAGTGGCTACCATATTGTCTCTTGTTTGCTTCGAAATAGTTCTCCGTACCTTCACATACAATAAATCAATATAAGACAAAATAGTATAAAACCAATCAAAACAAAAGAATGAGAACGTTACAGCCTTTCAAAACCAGACAATAGGAAATCAATAATGGCTACCATGATGTCTCTTAGTCTCTGCAAAATAGCTGTCCATACTTTTATACACATTGAAATTAAATAATTGAAAATAGACTAAAACCAATCAAAACAAAGAATAAAAGCATTATTACACTTCAAAAAAAGATGATAGGAAATCAGCGATGGCTACCATGATGTCTTGTTTTCTTCAGTGTATCACACACATATTAAAAACACACATAATAAAATCAATTCTTGTAAAGTCTTTAGGAGAAGTTCTAGGCATATATATACCTATACATGTACATCTATCGTTTCTGTATTAGAGGAAAACCCCTCAAATTGGGAAAAAATCTTAGTCAACTGTCCGTCAGACAATGGACTTCTGTCTAGAACATATAAAGTGTTAAAAAAAATCAGACCCCAAAATTCAAAGGCCAAAACCAAAAATGGGCATCTGAGATAAATACACACTTCTCTGCTGAAGAAATACAAATTGCAAATAGATACATGAAAAAATGTTCAGTATCATTGGTGGTCATTAGAGAAATGCAAATTAAAACCACACTGAAATTCCATCTCACTCCAGAAAGAATGGCCAGGATAAAGAAAACTTCCAACAACACATGCTGGAGAGGCTGTGGGGAAAATGGAAGTCTCCTATACTGTTGGTGGGAGTGCAGACTTCTGGAACCACTGTGGAGATCAGTGTGGGGGTTCCTCCAAAAGATGAGATTGGATGTCCCATTTGATCCAGCTATTCCACTTCTCAGCATATTTCTAGAATAATTGAGAATATCATACCACAGTGGTATGTGTGCACTCATGTTTATAGCAGCAAAATTTGTAATAGCTAAGTCTTGGAAACAACCCAAATGCCTATCACCTGAGGAATGGTTAAAAAAGATGTGGTATTTTAATAAAATGGAATACTTCTCAGCTGTAAAGAAGGCCCTCTGTAAAGAGACTTTTATAGGTAAATGTATTCGACTTGAGACCATATTCATAAGTGAAATAAATCAAACTCACATGTGTAAATACCATATTGTCTCCTTTGTGTAACAAACTGAGAGTTAATAAGATACAGATCTTCAATAAATATGGTGAAAGGGTAAGACAGTACTCCTAGAGGAAAAAATAACTCTGATAGTGAAGAGAAAAGAAGGAAGAGAAAAGAAAAAAATATAAATTTGTGTATATATACACTTAAGATTACTAAGATGATTGTAATACGAATTCTGTTAATTTTGGAACAAAACAGTTAACATTCACAGGGTTAGATCAGTTTTGCATGTCTATATATGATAATTTGAGTAACACTTTTGAAGATTATGTAAAATAACAAAATTTGTTTTGTTCTTACTACCTTGTTTGAAAGCCTGCATTGTTATTGTTTTGGGCTCTTTTTTATTGTTATTTATTTGTCTCTTTTGTTTCTTGTTTTTCTTATACTCAATTGTTTTACAAAAAACAATTGCCTTCTTAATTATTTTTCCCACTACATCTTATCGCAGTGACATGGGTGTCAAACAGTAGGCACAGCAACTCTAATCACCTTCCATTTCGTCTGTAGAACTATATATGTAAAAATTGGTGTTTTATAAGATAGGAAAAAAGGGGAATGATTTTAAAATAATTACAACAATTGTTTTATTTTAAGATGAAAAAAGAATAAAAATGATGATACGGAATTTCAAAATATTAGATTAACAATGCTTCAAAGTAGTTGTTTAGATTCCAAGATATAGGCATGAAAAAATATGATCAAACAATGAAAGCATAAGCTGTTCTTTTGAATGAACTGACAGAGATTAGTAGTATATTTATCTATCTTGTATATATATATATATATATATATATATATAATCTTTTACCTTTTTTCTTTTCTCCTTTCCCCTATCCCAGTTGTTCTTTCCTTTTGAGCAGTTTCTTTCACTTTCGCAATATCTTTTGTGCGTTTTGGCTCTTATTTACTCTTTCATTTTTTTCCTTTGGTACTGGGGATCGAACTCACAACCTCACACTAGCCAGGTAGGTGCTGTGCCACTGAGCTAAATTCCTGGCCCCCCTCTTTCATTGTTTTAAACGAGGGACGCAATGTGATATTTACACATAGGAGTCTGATTTATTTCACTTATGAATATGGTTTCCATTTGTGTCCATTTACATATAAAAACCTCAGGATTATACTTCTTTGTAGATGAGTAGTACTCCATTATATAAAAATACTTCATCTTTTTTAACCATTCCTCACTTGATGGGCATTTGGGTTGTTTCCAAGATATAGATATTACAGGTTATGCTGCTATAAACATGAGTGCACATATATCATTGTGGTATGATGTTTTCAATCTGAGAAAATACTCAGAGGGGGAATAACTGGATTGAACCGGACCTCTAATCCTAGTTTTTTGAGGAATCTCTGCACTGATTTCCACAATGGTTGTACCAGTCTACACTCCCACCAACAGTGAAGATGTGTTCCTTTTTCCCCATAGCCCCATCAGCGTTTATTATCATTTGATTTCTTGATGATAGCCATTCTTTTTGGAGTGAGATGGAATCTCTCAGTGTTATTTAAATTTTGCATTTTACAAATGACCCGTGATATCTAACATTTTTCAAATATTTATTTGGCATTTGTATTTCTTCATCTGAGAATTGTGTTTTCATCTCAGATGCCCATTTTTGGATTAGGTTTTTTAATTTGGGGATCTGATTTTTTTTAATTCTTTATATGTTCTAGATCAAGTCCTTTGGCTCAGGGACAGTTGACTATATTTTTTCCGAATTCGTGGGTGTTTCCTCTAATACAAAAATGATAGATGTATATGTGCAGGTATATATATGCCTAGAACTTCTCCAAAAGAGTTTACAAGAATTGATTTTAATATGTGTGATAGTATGAACAACTACACTGAAGAAAACCAGGCATCATGGTAGCCATCGCTGATTTCCTATCATCTTATTTTGAAGTGTAATAATGCTTTTATTCTTTGTTTTGATTGGTTTTAGTCTGTTTTCAATTATTTAATTTCAATATGTATGAAGATATAGATGACTATTTTAAAGAAAACAAGAGTCAGCTAAAATTCTTTTCCCATTCTGAGGGTTTTCTTTTCATTCTGTTGGCCATTTATTTTGTTGTGAAAAAACTTATTGATAAGGAAATATCCCAGTTGTTGATTATTTGAAGTACTTCCTTGCAGTTTGTGTTTTGTTCATGAACTCTCTGCCTACCCATATGTCTTCAAGATTTCTACCTACTTTCTCTTCTAGTAGATTTAGTGTTTCCATTTTAATTTTTAGATCTTCGATCCATTTTGAGTTTAGTTCAGTGCATAGTGGTAAATATGGATCTAGTTTTATTCTTCCACAAGTAGAAAGACAATTTTTCCAGCACCACTTCTTAAAGAGGCTGTCTTTTTTCCAGTGAACATGTTTAGCCCCTTTGTCAAATATAAGGTGCTGAGTGTCTATTACAACAATTTTTGTTTTATATCCACTCACTTATCCATGTAGTGAATTTTTACTGAAGATTTATATGCAAAATACTGGAAAATAAATTTGAGAACCAGATAGACATCCTTGCTGTCAAATTGCTGACTGTTTAGTCAGAAAGAATAGCTGACCTGTAATACAATTAAATAAGCTATTCTACACAGCAGGAAGTCTATGAAACAAGAATACAGTTTCTTAACAGAAGGATCTACTCTAGCCTAGAGAATCAAAAAAGAATACTGTGAGACATTTAAAGTGAAATATGAAGAATTAATGTGTTCTTTCAAAATTTTGTTGCCTCCCCAAGGAACAAACTAGGCTAAAATTTCTTTCACCATAATATTATACCTATCACATCATGTGTGTTTCCTGGTGTTTGCTCTAGACAATTGTTCATCATATTTAAAATTTTACTTTAGAGACAATTTTAGTGAGTCCTTAATAGAATATATACTGGATTTTTTTGTGATTGTACCTTAACCTTGCATCAGCTACAAGATACCATTTATTTAAGAGATAATTTATTTGTGTGAACTTCTAACCAAGAACTCCACTTACCCCAACTTCTTTTAAAATAATTGAGCCAGACATGCTGATATGTGCCTGTAATCTCATTGCTCAGAAGGCTGAGGTAGGAGGATTTCCATGAGTTCAAATAACCATATATATTTGTTCCATATGGTAGATAAGACTCTAACATATCAAGACTTCTGAGTTTTCAGTGTGACACTAGATCTAAAATAGAGGCAGGTTTTAGCACATGAAAGATCTCAGAGTTAGTTTAAAATTAAAACATGACAGTTCTCAGAGTTTAAATTTAAAGGCTCACAGACAATACTAACTCAATGCTCATGAGGATTTTTTTTGACAGAGCACTTCCCTAGAACTTGCCTTTCGTTGTCATTAGATTTATTCATGGCTAAAATGTATCCTTTAAAGGACAAAATTATATTACTGCATAATACTTTGATATAGAAAATTGAAAGGTGGTCTCCTTTCTTAAAAAAAAAATCACAGCCTTTAGGAAATGGAAAACAGGTACATCAAATCTATCTTGCTTGGAAGAGAAAAGACAAGACTAAGCAGTTTGGGATACAGAGTCTATTTTATTGATGTTGCATAAGTGTCTAATCTGTCTTATTAAATCTTTCCTTAGACTTTAAACTTTGAGGGCAAGAATCGTCTCTTTTATTAACAATCATATCTCTAGTGCTTAGCTCAATGCATAGCACAAGGTAAGTGTTGAATAAATCCTTATTGAATGCATGATAGTCTACTTCATTTTAAAATTAGTGTTTCTGGAAGGAAGAATTCTTTTTTTGTTGTTGTTGGTACCAGGGATCATACTTACAACCTTGCGCTTATCAGGCAGGCACTTATACTGCTGAGCCAAATTCCCAGCCCATGAATTCTTTAAAAAATACTTTCACATTAAGAAAGAGATAAAGGAAAGATCATAATTTTCTAGATATTGTATCTTTGAATTTTTAGGTTCCGTTATTTGTTATATTTGAATGAAAGTAAAAGGAAGAAAAAAATTTTAGCTCCCATATTAAGCTCATTGTAAGAGGCTACAGAGTTTGCTGTGGTGACTCAGTGAAAGGACCTTACTACAACAAGAGAGATTTTATACTGCAGTTGTTTGCAGACATTTAGAGGAAGAACTACCTATTTTTATCTCTTGGTCATATCACAGTGGCCTCACACAGCAGATGGAACAAAGGGTAAGAACTGGAAGATTAGCTGAGGACGTAGCTCAGTGGCACAGCACCTGCCTGGCAAGCACAAGGTACTGAGTTTGATTCCCAGTACCAAAAGAAAAAAATTTTTCCAAAAAAGAATTGGAAGGTTCATCATTTGAGTATACAGTTAAAATTATCCAGATACACACTACACAGTCATGCTTGAAGTGATGGTTTATCCCCGTAAGCCGAGCACTTGGGAGGCTGAGGCAGGAGGATTGCTGTGAGTTTCAAGGCCAGGCTTGGCTGTATAATGAGTTCAAGGCTAACCTAAACTATGTAATGAGACATTGTCTCAAAAAAGAAAAGAAAAGCTAACAAGTCAAAAAAAGATACATGATCTCTTTCAAATTTCTAGAGGGAAGTATAACCAGGTTAGAAATACCAAGTCTAATGCCATTGGTTAATGCTAATATCAGGTACTTTTATTATCTTCTCTAGATAACTACCTTTTTACTTTACTCATTTCTAATAATCAGGACCATTTTATCTAGACAAGAAAGGCAGCTAGCTAACAAGGCCTTTTATAACTGTCTTTGTTAAACCAGTGAAAATGGGCCTTCTTTACATTTTTAAGTGACTCTAAGGAAATCAAACTGTTTTAAGTACACACAAAGCACATAGGAAAATTAGTGCCATTACCTCAAGAATAATTTCCTATGATTTTAAACTTAATAGTTTTGCCTGGAATAGCATAAGGAATAAAAAAGGAAAAACTTATACAAACATTCTTCAAATGTAAACCAAATATTTTGCCTGTAACCTGGCATAGGATTCTTTTTAACCTTTCTGATTTACTTTTTCAGATTTCTCTTTTCTTTTATAATTACAGCTTTGGCTTTACAGATAAAGTGATAAAGAAGAGCCAGTGTCCCATTGGCGTGTTTGGTAATGGTTTCAAGTCAGGCTCCATGCGGCTAGGAAAGGATGCTCTTGTCTTCACCAAGAATGGGGGTACTCTCACTGTTGGACTCCTGTCACAATCCTATCTGGAATGTGTCCAGGCCCAGGCAGTTATTGTACCAATTGTTCCATTCAACCAGCAAAACAATATCCTTTCTATAAATGGAGAATTTTGCTTAAAAATTAGTCTAATCTGTTTTGACAAAAACTTTTTTCAGGTCAAATCCAATGCATTTGATATCTTATATTTCAAATAAGGTTTCAATATATGAAGAGGAATTGAAGTATCTTAAATTTAACTGGAATTTTCTGTATTTTTATTTAAATATTTTTAAAGTAAGTAGACGAGTGACAGAGCTTAAAGATGCTTTTGCTATACTGAAATTTTCCTTGTTATGCAGTTTGATTTATGTGTGGTATCTCTCTCCAACCAACCTGTGGCAAAATTTCCAGGGCCTTCTCTTTTCTTTCCTCTAAGGAATGCTACAGTTGTGTTTATGCTCTGATAGATTTGTAGCTTATCTAGACAAGCAGTTATTTCTGTTAGACACCAGACTGTTTTGATGGGAGTAGCATAGCAGTTAAGACTTGAACATACTGCTTCCAAATAGTTTAAAAATATAGCACTTTTTTGGTCTTTTTCCTTTTTATTGGTACCGGCGATCAAACTCACGACTGCCTGCTTGCAAGGCAGGCGCTTATGCTGTTTTTTGATAAATGTAGCACTATTTTTGCACTGAAACTTTGAGCATGTGCTCTTCAGATATAACTGATTTTGATATTTGTCTCCCTTCATTTTCCCTCTTTCTTTCCTTTTGTGACAGTAGTGCCCATGTATTAATGTCTATATTTTTGTCTAAGCAATCCAAACGGTGCTTTTCCTTCTTTATAGCATTTTGTAATAATTTTTTTTCTTTGACTGGTTTTACAAAAAATGATTATTACTGAGGATTCCTTGCCCAGTCTAGAAGCCATCTTGAACTATTCAATTTTCAACAATGAAAAAGACCTGCTATCCCAGTTTGATGCCATCCCAGGCAAAAAAGGCACTCGTGTTCTCATTTGGAACATCCGAAGGTATAGTATCCCAAGGGTGACAGATTCTGACAACCAAAGGTATTATGAGGAAGCACACTTTAATAAGTCTTTATAGAGGAGAGTAGATAATTTTGATACATATTTATATCTCATTGTCATAACTTTCTGTAGCTTTCTTTTAGTTCTGTTTGAGATAGAGGTTTTTGTTGATACATGCCACTCATTTAAGGTAAAAATATCCATATCCTGGGGCTACTGCCACAAGTAAGAGTGCGATGTTATTCTAACATTCCCAGAATTCATTATAAATATGTATTCCATATTTATGGACTTTGAGATTGGTAAATGGTAGTTATTTTATATGTTTCACAATAATTATTTATGAGAAAGAGAAGTTAGAGCAGCAAAACATTATATTTAGACTCTTTTTTTGGTACTTGGAATTGAACTCAAGACTTTGTGCTTGCCAGGCAGGCATTTATGCCACTGCGCTATATCCTAGGCCCTAAAACATTATCTTTTTAAAAAGCACCTCTGTGTTAGTGTTTTTAGAGTAGCTGGAATAGAACAAAAAATCCTTGAAGCAGAACAATTTTATCTATAATGAGGCTGTCTTAATATTATTTCATTAGAGCTAATACAACAATTCAGAAATACTCTCTGATGTATTATTTCTTTAATTTTGACATGTCTAATGGAATAAAACCTAAATGCTAAAAATTTCAAACTCGTATAAAATAGAGGTGTCACTGGTATGTTTAATAGAATAGAATATTAGATATACTCATTTTTCCTTTTCTACTTAGGCAACTATTTTGTCTTGTTTCTTTTCTTGATAAAACTAAGAAATACTGATAAATGCAAAGAGTATTTAACATTTAAAAAAAGAAAAAGTAAGGAGAGTTCACAAGGATTTTCTCTGTTTTACTGGAAAACCTCAAAACTGTATTATAATTTGTATTACAAAGGATCAATTTCCTGAGGGATTTCTAATGGCTTACACATATTAGGCAGACTTTTTCCTTTGTACATTGTTTCTCAGTTTTATGGTACTGTCATAGAAATAATTGCATGGTCAAATTTGGGGAAAACTGACAGAGCCTATTATATTGCTTTATTTAGTCTTTTCAGGCTTTTGTATGCTAATTTGCATTGGAAATACTTAAGAGAACAATATAGTATGTAGATTTTCTAACTTCAAACTCTTTTTCTTGGATGGAGAAAATGAGGAGCATGAAAAACAGAGAATTACCTCAGGGTATGTACTAGAGTGGAGTAGGGTAGTGAGAATCGGAATTTTCCTAAAAAATCCAGAATATATTATTACAATGTCATGGGCTTTTTATAGGCCATATGCAGCAAGAAGCTTGGTTCAGCTCTTAAGAGCAGAGCTAAATTTTTCACACAGCAACTTTGAGCTTAATGAGCCTGATGTATGACAGAGGTATCAACTGAGGTTACTCTGAAGTGTTTTATTCTGCTTTATTGAATCATACAACTTTTATTTATTTCTAATTTATCTGAAAGAACTAACATGCCACAGAGCAAATTTTTGAAACTCTTGTTCTGATGTATACATTTTCTGTATAACCAATCATTTGTTTTGAAGTTTTCCAGGAACAAAGATGGGTCTTACCTTTTTTTCCCAGGCAATGTAGCCCAAGATGTTAGAATGGACCAATACTAAATGGCCACAAAAGATTATGGAAATAAGAAAAGTCCTTATGAGTGTTAGCGTATTTAAATCCTAATTCCATAAATTGTACTCTTGAGTACTAGTAAATATATACTGTTTCGATTATCTTTTCTTTTTTAAAGATATGTGAGTAGATCTGAGGATATATTGGTTTCTCATTAGTCCTTATACTGTTGCCAAAGTTAGTAGAAATAGATTTTTATTCATCTATTCATTTGGGAAAAGTAATACTGAGTGACTTATCCAGTAATACCCAGAAAGTTGGGCTCTATTATAGCAGCCTGTTTGAAGCTAGCTGACATGAATTTAACTTATCAAATTACAGAAATATTCATACCTTTTCTTACAAATTTGGCATCGCCAACACTATTAAACAATAGATTTCTGTAGATAAGAAATGCCTTAAATAGTATATGATCCTCAAATTAAGTGGCTTATAATTTCATGGCCATGTTGGTCAAGGGGCAAACAAAAACAGATACCTGGTATTAGTTCATTTTGTTTCTTCTCTCTTGGGTACCTAGTGCTTTTTTGTCCTTTGGTGCCAGTTTTTGTTAGATTGGTATTTGTTTCTTTTACCCAGAAACAAAGATGGAAAGTCAGAGTTAGACTTTGATACAGATCAGTATGACATCTTGGTATCGGACATTGATGCAGAAGAAAAAGAGACTGATGGTATTACCTCTGAGCTGCCAGAAACAGAGTATTCTTTACGGGTGAGTAAGGGTCGCTTTCCTTCAGCAATGAGAGGTAAGATTTCCTATAACATGAAAATATTATAGAAGAAAATTGAGGTACAGTTAATATAAAGATGACAACCTTTTAGGATTCTTTTTATATCTCTATTCAGATAGTTTAACATAGCAGCATTTTTAGTGTGGTAATTGACATAGTGTAACGAGATACAAAAACTGAGCCAAATCTTTGTCCAGAAGGGATGCGCTTAGCTAGCAGTACTTTATGGGGATATCAGAACAACTGGCAATATGACATAATGACTTTCCCTTCATTGTTCCATAGGCATTTTGTAGTATTCTATATATGAAGCCACGAATGAAAATTTTTCTGCGTCAAAAGAAAGTGACTACCCAGATGATTGCCAAGAGCCTGTCCAATGTAGGTTATGATATATATAAGCCTACCTTCACTGTATCCTTATAGCTTGATGTAGTTGATCTGTTCATTGTAGGGTTATATTTTTAGTTGATTAAAAAAAATCAAACACTTGCTTTCTCTAATTCACAATTGTATGTTATATAAATATTATACTTCTAAGGAAGTATTTCTTAAATGTCAATCTATGCACTAGTTTTATCAGAAACCACATGGAAAATTTTTAGTTAAGAGCCCTGATATTTTGGTTCAGTAGATTTTTAAATTTATTCTTCCTTCCTTTCTTTCTTTCTTTCTTTTTCTTTCTTTTCTTCCTTCCTTCTTTCTTTCTTTCCTTCCTTCCTTCCTTCCTTCCTTTTCTTTCTTTCTTTCTTTCTTTCTTTCTTTCTTTCTTTCTTTCTTTCTTTCTTTTATTACTGGAAATTGAACCCAGGGCCCTTTTTCTTTAAACTTTGAGACAAAGTCTGGCTAATCATTGAATTGCCCAAGCTGTGCTCAAACTTATGAGCCTTCTTTCTCACATGCCACATGCTGAGATTATAAGCATCCACCACAATACTCACTTCTGAAGTATGTTTTTTTTAAATCTATTTTATTCAAAGATAAAAAAAAAACTATAACAAAATTTCAGAGCACATTGTAATCCCCAAATCATTCACCAAGAACACAAGATGTCTGCATTCAACTGCTCTGTGTTTGTCTGTGGTGAGCTGGATATCTGAGGTTGCATCTTGTTTTCTCATTTCTTTTCTTTTTTTAGTTTAATTCATGGGATGATGCTTGTAAGTTGCCTATGGTGGGTTGCTTTATTTGTAGTATTTTGGACCCTTAGGTGATGATTATTTCTCTGAGGTGTCTTCCGGGGGTAGCTGTTTTTTGGGTTTTGAGTCTGTTGGAAGATCTTATTTGTTCAGTTTGTTAAAGATGAGAAGTTGCTGCTCGCTTTGCCGAGGCCCTGGTTCTTTGGCACTATGCCACAGTATTTTCCATGACCCTAAATTAATCTCAGTCATGCATTATCAGGGCCAACAACTAACAATTATGTGAATTTTGGCTGTAGTGGTACCAATAGCATCAGACATAGCCTATAAGACAACAAACTGAGCTAACCCTTATTTGTAATTTTTAACTGTGTGAACTACATTTGTGATGTAACAAAATGTAAAAGAAACCAAATAATTATATGCAATATATAAGTTTGTAATGTGTCAATTTTTCCCTTGAGGTTAAAATTTAAAATGGATTAAGGAGAAAATGGAGAAGTGGAAAAAGAGAAAGAGATTACAAGTAAAGTTGGAGGACAAAGATAGATCTTGCCAACTTGGGGAAACTGGTACAGAAGATTGAAAGAAAAGAGAGATGGAAAAGATAAAAGGTAGAACAGAACACAACCACACCCACAAAGAGGTTGTGAATCACTCTAACACTCATTTAAAAATACAGTGAAAAAAATGAAAAACAAACTGAATAAAATAAAACAAAACAAAACAAACAAAAGAAAGAATAAAAACAAATAGTCCACTTCCATGTTTTTCTCTAGGTTCACTAGTAGACAGCCTGTGGAAACAGAGTCCTAAATCGTGCCACTCTATCCCAGCAAGCCAGCTGCGGCTTTATGATAGAGTAATAGATAACCTTAGTAGACTTGCCCCAAAACCAAACTCACTTGGCTTGCTGCAGTCCAAGCAGTTTCCATCAGTCTGTGCCCAGCTAGGGCCTGCTGGAGGAAGCCTGCAGCAGTTGTGGTTCTAGGCTTATCCGGCCCAACTACAAAGTGGCTCCTGGCCAAGTGCTCTCTCCTGCAGGATGACTGAGTCCTCTGCACTCACCGCCAGCCAGTGCAGTCCTCCATGTCTGCAGCTCCCCTCCACTGCCAGGTCTCTCTGCAGAGGCCTCTGGGGTCACCAGCTGCCACTGTCACTGTGACCATGTGTTCTCAGATTTTAACAGCTCTTCTCAGACACTTGAGTCCAGCTCAGGGCAAAGGCACCACCAGCTACCACCTTCTTCATTGAAATTTTTCTTTTTACTCTCTTTGTGGGCTTCAGTTCACACTTCAGATTCTTCCTGTCCATGGGACCCACTTCCTTCCTTCTTGTCTTCCTCATGATTATATATTCCAATGTCTGCTGAAATATTTTTTAAAAGAAATACTTACTTTAAAATCCTCAGCTTTTTTCAGTGAGCATATTTCTCACATGACTGCTTCCAGTGAATCAGCCATAAGAAATAACTCTATATCATATTTGATTTGTACTGGAAATTTGTCATATATCACATTGATTCAAATGTAATATTGACTAGGCTTTGTTAATCTTTTGGGTATAAAGTTATTTTTGTTGTACCAGGACCAGATACAGACACTGATACTAGTCAAGAGAGGAAAATTAAAGGTTAGTATTTCTAGGGAGAGATGAATTATTAACAAGTTTAACATGAATTTTCAACTGACAGCCACTTAGAGGAACAGTTACTCATTTTCATTTCTGCTCCCATTGCATTGGGAATGGATTTCATATATGTACTAGATAAAATCTTAAGGTAAACAATGGAAATTAGGTCAGTCTTCATTGATGAGTTTTAAACAATAAAAAAGCTGAGAAATCAAAAACTGTTATGAAGATTCACTTTTTTATTTTCCAGAAACCAAGCACACATCTTGTCCAAAGAAACATGTTCACACTCTATTTTCTCTATTAAAGGAATTAATCTTACTTTGTCTTTTTTTGCCTGACTGAGAATTAAAGATTGTTGTTCCTATTCTAAAAAGCCAAGTGGTTTTTACTTATAAGCAGACTGCATTTTTTTCCCTTTTCAAAAAATACCTTGTCCACTAAGAAAGTATTTTAAATCCCTAAATAAGCCCAATTTAACAGTCAGAGCTAGCGTTGTGATCAAATAAGTTATAACAGCATTTTATATGGTCTAGAATACTAATGTTATAGGTTTAACAGAGCCAGTCTAAAGAAATGTTTTTTAACTACTATTTTAGGATATGTCACATTTCTGTTTCCAGCTTATTCCTTTGGTAGGTTTCTATCAGGCCAACTTCTATGCATGTATTTTATGCATACCTCAACTTTTCTAATCCCTCTCTTCCTGTCAGACTAGTTGCCTCCCATGTTACAGTTTGGTTTAAACATTTTCAATATAGGCATCAAAAAAATGAAATTCCTTGGAGAATTTTCCCAAGATCACTGATTCTGATTTATGTATTCTTCAGTTATCAATTGGATTTGGTTTTTTTTGTTTTTGTTTTTATTTTTGTTTTTTTTATACAAGGTCCCTGTTTATAGTTCTGTCTGACCTTGAACTTACTGTGTAGCCCAGGCTGCTTTGAGCTTTCAGTGATCCTCCTGCCTCAGCCTCCCAAATGCTGGAATTACAGGCTTGCACCACAATGCCTAGATCCTCACCTTGTTCTTTTTCTTCAAATTTGAGGCACTTTCTACCCCAGTATACTCCGATTCCTTGTTCTTTAGTGATCTTCCAGAGTGCTGGGATTAGAGGCACAACACCTGGCTATGATTTTGGTATTGTTGCTTTTGTTTTCATTGTATTTTGCATGTTAAAAGGACTAACCAAATTGCATATAAGTGAGTGGATTTTTACTGTACCACATATAACTCTTATCAAAACCGGTGAACCCTAGCAGCAAATTTAGCAACTGGGTTAAGGAATTAGCAACTGGGAAAGGGTTAAGGAATATTTTTTGATTTTTTTTTGTGAATTGTTTATTCACTACTAGTATGTTGGTATAGTTTCTTACAGTCTTTTCTATTCATATGTGTATGTATATGCATGTTTGTGTATATTATATACATATATACATATATACATATGTATATAAGTATATATTATATGCTTATATACATATCTATATATATAATTCTTGTTATGAGCATTTTAATGCTTTCAAATATTTTTCTTTTTTATTTAAAAAAAGATTAAGATAAAAGAGGACATAACAAAACAGGTCAGAACAGAACGATTTAAGCAACATATGTTTCACCACAAGACAACTCAACATAACAGTAACTACCATAGTATCTCTTTCCTTGAAATATTTGAGTATACCTTCATACACTATAGTAACAAACATAACAAAACAGTATAAAACCATTTAAGAGAGTGAAAGTATTGCAGGGTATTCAGAATCAACTAACAGAAAATGAAAAAATGGTTACTATATTCTCTCCTTGTCCATAAAAAATTTTATTTATACTATCACATATAATAAAATCCAGTAGGATACAACATGATAAAACCGATGGAGACAGAAGAACAAAAGCTTGGTAGGACTTCAAAACAAGATGATATTAAGTCAACACTATTATAATGTCTTGTTTTCTTCAAAATAGCTGTTCATACCATCACAGACAACAATCAAACAACCCAGAATAAAACCATTCCAACTAATGAATGAAAACATTATAAGGCTTCAAAGCATATAATAGGGAATCATGATTACCACATACTTTTATATATTCTTACCATTTCTTACACTAGGGAGACTATTCAGTATTTATACATGAAAAATATGGAACGCTTCATGAATTTGCGTGTCATCCTTGTGCAGGGGCCATGCTAATCTTCTGTGTATTGTTCCAATTTTAGTATATGTGCTGCCCAAGTGAGCACTCAAATATTTTTCAAAGATGTGATCTGAAGAGCTGAATGATAGACCATGTGAATTTATCTAATCATTTCCTTTTGGTTGGACATTTAAAATATTTATTTTTCTACTACTGTAACTGCTTATTTTTCCTCTACTGAAAAAACTCTATAACTTATAAAACTTTGTGGACTTCTGTGGAATAAATTCCTAAGAAGAGAATTACTTGGACAATGGTTAAAAATATTTTTCAACTATTGTATAGCTTCAGATTTTTAAGTGCCTTCTAGAAAGTTACCATTTATATACAATGGCTTTTGTTGTATTTTGTCTGCTAAAGCCTCTAGTGTTTGTCTCCTTAATGATTATTCTTAGAATAAGCAAGTTAGAATCACTTTTGGATTCTCCTGCGAGAAAAGTAACCACTTTGGAATAATGATGTATCATAACAACCGGCTCATAAAGTCATTTGAGAAAGTGGGATGCCAGGTGAAGGTGAGTGTTTTGTTTCTTTGTCACAGAAGACTAAAAATTATATGAGCAGAATTTAAAACTTATAAAGGAGATAGATTCATTAATGGTTTTTGTTCCCATCTCATGTTGTTTGTTAATTTCTGATATTGAAAGTCTGTGTTACCAGTGAATCATTTTGTGTTCAAAAACTCCTGCTACTTCTCATTCTTCTCAGATGTTAACCCAGAAACTTCACTGAAATGCATTTTCTCGGTGACTGTTAGTAAAAGGAAGTTAGAATACCAGCAACTCTGCCAGGTGCATCAGTTTATTAGTTGTAAGGTACCTCTTTCTAATACCTTAGGGAGATAATAAATAATAAAAGATGACACAACTTGGTGATGAATACCAAGATTTGAATATGGGATTTTCAACTTATGAGCTATGTCCTTGGATAAACCATTTAATTTTTCTGAGGCTCAATTTTCCTACCTGTAATATGGAAACAATAATATTAATATTGCCGAGCATGTTGGCACATGCCTATAACCCCAGCATTCGGGAGGTTGAGGCAGGAGAATCACTGGATTTCAAGGCTAGCCTTGGTTTCCTAAGTGAGTTTCAGCCAGCGTGAAACTACATAGTAAGACTCTGTCTCAAAAAAATATTGTTACTCTTACTTTCTTTACCTGAGAGCTTACAGGTTTGACTGGTTTGTTTTTGTATATGTATCATCTCTCCACGAGGAATGTAATTACTGTGCTACAAACATGTATTAATAAAAATTTGGGAGAAAAGAAAAGATTTAACTAGGATAAATTATGACAATATTTTCTTTTCTTTTTTTTTTTTTTTGTCTTTTTCGTTTTTATCGGTACCAGGGATCGAACTCACGACTGCCTGCTTGCAAGGCAGGCGAATGACAATATTTTCTAAATCAAACTATATAAATGTTACCATTATTTTTAATGGTTTAATGATAATCCAAAGTAGTAATTTTCACAAGTATCACTTTTGTTGCTTGTAGATCAGATTGCTAAAACAAAACAAATAATAGATTGCCCTATATTACATAGAAGGATATTTATATAAGGCCCCAAATAGCTAATTTTTGGCCTATCTTGGTTTTTTCCTTGTTATGCACCTTAGGACAACTCACGTTTGCGTAACAGTCTATAATTATATGTTAATTCAGTTCCTTCCATTAAAGAATTTATATAAATATATATATATATATATATATATATATATATATATTTAAATCCGCAAACCTCTTGTATCAGCTGTCCTTAATAATCACTGCAAATTGTATCTTGTAGTTCTTTGGTAGGCTGTATATGTGAGGAGAATGCTTACTTTAATAGGTAGTGTGAGGGCTTAATGTTCACATAAAATCTTTAAAACTCTTTTCCATTTGAAATTTCATTTCATTTTAGAAGAGTAGTATATAATTTTGCTTTTAATAGTATCCTAATTCTTTACTCAAATGAACTCTTAGGGAAATCTTAGAATATAAAGCAAGTGAAAGTGAAGATTGTGTGGGTGAATGAGTTATTAATCTTAAATATTCCTAAGAATTTATGAATCATTGAAAATCTCTGCTCTAGAATTTATTAGTTTCTAGTTCTACACAATACTTACAATGTATCGAAGTACATTCTGAATATTTCTCTAGATCTTGATAGCCTTTCCTTGCCCATAGACATTATGTAACCTTTCTATTATTGTTTGGAATAAAATGGAAGTGCCTTCAGGCAGTCAACAGTAATATAAATGTTGAAATTAATATTTTTCTTCTAAGCCAACTCAAGGAGAAGGTATGGGAGTAATTGGAGTCATTGAGTGCAATTTCCTAAAACCTGCCTATAACAAACAAGACTTTGAATACACCAAGGAGTACCGGTGAGTCACTGCCAAACTGAGGTGTTTCTCCTAACTGCGTTCAGATATGAGTCTATACTCTGAAACCTCTACAGCCATCTCTAAAACTCAGCTGAATAACTTAACTGAGAATTACTTGAGGTCTAGTTTCAAAGATTAATGATGAAATTATTTTATTTTTAAAGCTTATAGATATTTGATATATGAATCCAGTTGAGATAAATCTTACTTTTATAAATTATAGCAAGAATATGGGAGTCATTTGGTAAAATAAAAAGCTGTATTGATGTTAATGTAAAAACATGAGTGTATCTCAAAATACTGAGTATGTTGGGGGATATTTTTTGAAACATGTTCCAAAACTTTTTCATGACTCTAATGAATAGACTTAGAAAGTATTGGAACAGCAAGAAATATGTGTGCTTTCATAGATGCATTTTAAGAAAGGAGGAAAGACAAAGGTTTAGAATCAATAAGCAATTTGACATAGCATCTGAACCAATAGCAGTATTTTTATGAGATAAAGAAAGGAATTATGAAAGCCAAGTTAGAAGAGGTTTGAAAAACATTTATGAGAAGAAAGGATCATTTTATTCCTTTCATCAAGAATTATGAATCTACCTATATATCAGGTATAAAGGACATAAGGATCAAAAGTAAGTCCTTGATGCTTACTTTTCATTCTTATGGAGGATAAAAGGAACAAGTTTGATAAGACATATACCAATATGAAACTTAAATATCTATAAAGTAATCTTGTTAATGAGGCAATATGCAAAATGAGAACTTTTAAATATACCTAAAGGAAAAAAAAGAAAAAAATACCTAAAGGAATCAAGGAAGGCTTGACTAATAGATTACATTTGAGTTTAAACCTGAAGGGAAAGTTGAAGTTTTCTAAGTGAATAAACAGAAGAAGGACATTCTAAGTAGAGGGAAATATATGTAAGGCCAGAAAAAGGCTATCCTGGAAGTATGGACAAAAGTCATCAGGATAAGTTGGTATCATTTCTTTGATGTCACAGTAAAAAAATATTTTTTTAGAGTGGGAGAAAAATTATTTCCTAAATCTCTTTTTGTGTGACCAAAGCTGTAAGAAAGTTAGTTAAGACTTGTGCCTTGATTTATGTGGAACCATAAGAATTCATTCAGGTTATTCAATGGTTATGACACCTAGGTGCCTTCAGTCTAAATAAGTGGTCATTTAAATATGGATCTGACCCATAATGGAGATCTTTTACCAGGACTTGACTCTTAGGAGGTTTACAAATTGCATTGATTTAACAAATGTCTCAGAGCCACATTGGTCTCTCAAACAGAAAGAGTAGTGAATTTCCGATGTTTACCTAAATAATTAAGATTTGTTAAAATTTAAAGAGTTGTTAATTAAATGGTTGTAGCTATGAAAGATTGTTTAACATATTTCTATATTGTCTTTGCTACCCTGCCACTTCATATTTACATTTCAAATTCTGGACACATTGGTCCCTTGGTTTTTCAATGTCTAGTTTGTATGATGAGTTTGAGGTCCTTGCCAAATACTTTTTAAAAGTTGGCCCTAAATACTCTATTCAGTTAAACATACAGTATTCTATTCAGTTAAGCATACAGGATTAAGAAGTTTAATCTGTGAAAATAAAGAACTAATGTGCTTGCACACATTCTTTTGGGAATGATACATTTGCATAATTCTTAGCCAATTCTGATATTATTACCACACCTCTTTTATTCTGGGTATTGACTCCAGGGCCATACATATGCTAAGCATGTACTCTACCACTGAGCTACACTCCCAGCCCTATTGTTGTTTTGTACTTATTTTTTTTTTTACTTAAAATGAAAGGTGTTTAGATTAAAAATATGGATATTGGAAAGAATGTTTGGAGATGGTTGCCTGCTATCACAACAGATCCCATGTATATTATGAATATTAAAGCTCTAAATAAGAGATGCCAGCTGTAGGGGGTGGGGACTTAGTTCAGTAGCATAAGTGCCTGCCTTGCAAGTGTGCGGTCATGAGTTCGATGCCTGATACTGATAAAAATGAAAAATATGGTACTGGTACTGATAAAAACGAAAAGAAAAAAAAAAGAGATGCCAGCCATAATAGCGCTTCAGTATCTATAAGTCATCTGTATTATCATTTTTAACATTTATGGATATTAGATTTCGGCTACAACTCTGAAGGCTGAAACTTAAAACATTGCTAGCTTGAACTTCATCTTAAATGCATATTTGTTGAACACTACTCTGGTGCATAACACAGTGGCTAGCCCTTGTAGAATTTTCCAGAGAAATTCAAAACATAGTTGATTTCTTTCTAATAATAGATTGTCACATATATGAAACAAATTAGACACTAATAAATGACTGTGATCATTCAGAACTTAACAGGTACATTATAAGAAAAATGCCCTGATAGAATAAAATAGGTAAAAGTATGATTTTAGACATACCTTAAATAACACCAGGTTTAGAGTAAAAAAGGAAAAGAATTCCAAGGTGGAGTTCTAGTTTAACCCAAGGTAGTGACAGGACCTCAGAATGTTATCACTATGGGAGCAGAGAGCAAGAAATGTAACTGGAGTGAAGGGAAATCAAGTTAGATGGATAAAGTAGAGCCAAATCCGAGAGCAAGAACTAGCAAACATATTCTAAGAACCAGAAAGTAAATACTTTGAGCTTTGAGGCCAGATGGTCTCTTTCACAATCACTCTACTTCACCATAGTATGAAAGCAAATATTAACAATATGGCGATAAGGCTGAGGATTTAGCTCAGTGGCATAAGTGCTTACCTTGCAATCGTGTGGTTGTGAATTCGATTCCCGGTACCCATTAAAAAAAAAAAAAAAAAAAAACTTAAGCAATATGGCAATAAGTAACACACACATTTTTCTAGGAAATAAAGTGATACTCAACTCCAGTCTATGAACAATAAGGTCTTCTATTGTAATGAATTGTCACTAATATAGTGACTTAGAACACTTATTGTCATAGAATTCAATAGTTTGGAAGCCTCATGAAGATTCCAGTGGGTAAAAATAAGGTGTTGGCAAGCCTTATTCCTTTCTGCAGGTTAGGAGAGAATCCATTTCCTTCCCTTTTCCAACTTCTAGAGGCTTCCAGCAGTGCTTGGCCCAAAGCCTTCTTCCTCCAATTTTAATATCAGCAATGATGATAGGTTGAATTCTCCTCACTTTGTGTCACTCTGGCGACCTTGCCTCTTGTCATCACAACTCTACTAATTCTAACTCTTTGTACCACCCTTCCACTTTCAAAGACAACTGTGATCTCATTGGCTAATTTAGGATAATCTTCCCGTTTTCAGATCAGCCAACAAGTAACCTTAATTCCATTTTCAATCTTGAGCTTCCCTTTGCTATATGACTTGACATAGTCACAAGTTTCAGAGACTAGGTTATAATATCTTTGTAAGACTTTTATTTTGTTTACCAAAATCTGCTCCCTGGTCTCCTAAGATTTACCTTGTATCTTAGTTACTTTTTATTCCTTGCTGAGACAAAATACCTGAAGCCCAAATTGGGAAAGGAACGGTTTATTTCTTACAGTTTTTGGAGGTTTCAGTCCACACTCAGTTGGCTCCAAGGCAGGTGGGCATGGCTTAGGCCGCAGTTCATGGCGGCTGCAAACAGCAAGCAGGAACAAGCAAAGAGCAAGATACACCTTCTTCCTGCCATTACATCACATCCTGGCTCCACCCCTAAGTGGGTGGAGCATTGACACTGTCAATCCAAGCACTAGATAATGAACTATTACAAATGCACAATGCAAACTCATGAGGCCTGGGGGCCACAGACATAAACCATGACACCTTGCATATGTGAAATGTGCACCCCATCCCCACATCCCAAAAGTCTTATCCTATTACAGTGTAAACTGAGAGCATAAAATTTCAACTACGTGTCATCAGCTAACAAGTTCCAAATCTCATTATCAGAATTAAATATTGGTTATACTGTGAGCATGAGAATCTTGAAGCAAAATTCCTCTCCATCTCCAGATATCTTCCTACCACCCTTTCTCCCTTCCTTCTCTTTTTTCCTTCTTTCTCTTTTTTCCTTCTTCTTTCCTTCCTTCCTTCCTTTCTTCCTTCCTTTCTTTCTTTTTTCCTTTTCTTTCTGTACATTTTAAACCTAAAATGCAGTATTGAGACATCATACCACTTATACATATTCTAGGTCAAGTAAGCGGAAATGGAACAGAAAATAAAAGGAATCACCAAGATGTTTCAAACACCCATCTAGGCATATTCAATCCTATTCAAAAACGGAATTCAATCCTATTCAGTCATATTCAGTCCTATTCAAAATCCTACTCAAAAACTGAATTTCAACTCTGGGGCTTGAACCTCTGTCCTCTGGGCTTATGCTTTCACCCTCAAAATAATCTTACCTTGTTCATGAAGTTCATGTGGTTGCAGCTGAGTTTTATCGGTCTGTTTTCTGACTAGAACTGTGAAGGTCCAACAAGCTCCTTTTATTCTGTACTTTCCACATACTTTTCAGTCTGGAAGACCTTTAGTGTTTATACCATTCTCAAAAACTTGTAGGTCTTCCTCAGTGTTATAGATATTCACACTCTCCAACAAGAGATTCTTGACACAGATTTCCTAGATAATATATGTTCTTGTGTCTTAGTTACTTTATGCTCGTTGCTGAGACAAAATACCTGAAGCGCAAAGTTGGGAAAGGAAAGGTTTATTTCTTACAGTTTTTGGAGGTTTCAGTCCACACTCACTTGGCTCCAAGACAGGCAGGCATGGCTGGGCTGCAGTTCATGGCGGCCGCCAGCAGCAAACTCGAACCAGCAAAGAGAAAGACACACCTTCTTCCTGCCATTACATCACATCCTGGCTCCACCCCTATGTGGGTGGAGCACTGACACCATCAATCCAAGCACTATATAATGAACCATCACAAATGAACAATGCAAAGTCATGAGGCCTGGGGGGACACAAACATAAACCATGACATCTTGTTTTCAATTGAGATAGTTGTGG